AGCATACTTCATAGCAAGGTCCCTCATCTTGCAATCAAATGATTTCATGTCAGCAGAGCAATAACTGATGAGATAGGTCGCCATTAGAAGAATCAATAACATGCTTCTGACCATCTTTCTTGTCTTTTTTACTCATGTGATGAGCCACACCTAGATACTATCCACACTATTTTGAATATGAATAATACTAGATCTATAGTTAACAAAGAATAATAGGTGACAAAAAATAATAGCAATCATGTAGCCAAAAAACAATAGCATAAACTATTCATAGCATCAGCAAAAATAGTCTATAGTTTAAGATAAGCTCAGCAAATCAACAATCATCTTAGCCAGGTCATCATCATCAGGCCATTTACCAGCTGTAGTACCATGATCATTGCCTTTGGCCTGCCAATCGGCAAGACTCATTCCACATTCTGTTACTTTACCAGTTGGAGTATAAATTTTGTTATCATGGACAACTGTCATTCCATCCCCAGAGCATGTAGGGTTACCGTAATCACCATCAGATGTTTGAACAACCACGTTACTATAGAAATAATCTTCATGTCCTTTCAATTGACCATTGATTCCAAATCCACGACCAACATATCCATATATGTTATTGTAATGGTGATTATCATGCCCTCCAAAGTCGTTCTTCATTCCACTTCTACTGTAAGCAAAGAAATTATCATGTGTTTTGTAATAGTTGGAGCCATCATCATTATCAATAGCTAAAATACTATCGTAATTAGCTATCATAAAGTTGGAATATATGTAATCCCAATCTTTGTCAGGACTAGCTGTACCATTTCGAACTTTAGTAACAAATACTTGTCTGTCCCAGCTATTGAATGGACCATGATCCCCAGATTCACGACAGGTGTTGAACTGTAAGTTCTCAGCTACAGTACTTTGTCCACCAAATCCGTCATTGAAATTGATTCCAGCACGAGGTCCATTGAAGTTAATGTTACGCATGATGGTATTCTGACATGATTTTGCTTGAAAGTAAAAGGATGATTGTTTCTCCCATATGCCTAGCTCGTGAACAAAGTTGTACATGATGCTCATGTTACGTGGTTGATTACCATCAGTTCCATCCCAACCCATTCCTGGAGCATCAGTACCACTTGTGTATCCCCACAATGCAATAGCAGTGCTACCAAGCCATCTAAACTCATTGGTTGTTATGTTACCGAATCGATTATATCCTGAGATCATGATACCATTACCATCAAGTACTTCAAAGATGCAACTCTCAATCAGAAGATTCTCAGTTCCTTCAAAGAACAATGCACCAGTTCTCTCCAGTGCCCAATCACCTCCAGAAGGCATTCCATGAGGATCCATATATGTGTATGGAGTATCCCTGAAGTTAATACCACGAATTGATAGTCCTT